TCTAAATTATCTATATTTAAGGAATTCTAAAAATATTTAAATTAATAATTAATTTTCGAAATTAAATATATATAATTATTAAAATTATTTTTTAAACGCTTAAAACAATTAGAAGTGTTTAGAAGCAAGTACTAAATATGCTTCTGTTTTAATATAATAGATTAATTTATTAGAACACTCAGTAAAACGATGTCGTCTCGAACTTTTTACTCTTGGTTACTTAATTTTTTGGCATTTTGCCGCCGTCACGCCGAAACTACTTGTCGGGAATCAGACCGGAGAGTTTGATCCGGCTCGAGATGGAGACACGCCTGAATAAGAAGAATTGGATAGCTTTAGGATTTCTGCTGATTCACTCCGTCGCAATTCTGATCTTCACGCGTGGGTTTCTTCTTACTCGAACAGAGCTTCCTTTCCACAGTACTTGCTCCGACGCTTCCCTCTCTCCTTGCCTTTCTTCTCCAGTCCCGAATCACGATTCAAACTCCGATTCAGGCTCGGGCCACTTTAATCAGAGTCAGCCGAAATGTTGGACCAAACCGGTTGTCGATCGCGTCGTTATCATTGTCTTGGATGCTCTCAGGTTCGAAGATCTCAAAGCAGTTCGCTTTTGTTCAATCTCCAGATTCTGTTTCACGATTCCATGAGCATTTCGTGATTTTCAAGTGTCTTTTGTTTCAGAATCGATTTTGTGGCCCCCAGTGCATTTTTCCCAGGTGAGTCAAAAGCTCTTCGTGGTAACTTACCTTTTACTGATCTTAGTAATGAATCTTGCAAGTAATTCTTCATTTGACAGAACCAAAGCCATGGATGGACAAATTGACAATCTTGCAAAAGCTTGCATCTGCTAACGATTCGTCTGCTAAGATCTTCAAGGCTTTTGCCGATCCTCCTACAACGAGTTTGCAGCGTCTCAAGGTTCCGAATTTTATATGCTTTCTAGTTTGGTGACTACATACAGTAGATTTCTTTTCATAGTCTAGTGTGTGATTTCTTTAGCTGTGAATTTAGGGGTTAACAACTGGAGGATTGCCTACATTTATAGATGTTGGGAATAGTTTTGGTGCTCCTGCTATTGTTGAGGACAACTTCATCAATCAGGTTTACGGTTATCTAAACAAAAGTGTTTGTTTTCTAATGTTACTTTGATTCGTCGCACGATTTTAACTTGAATGTGTTCTCTCTCTATACATAGCTAGTGCGAAATGGGAAACGGTTGGTGATGATGGGTGATGATACTTGGACACAGCTGTTCCCAAATCAATTTCAAAAGTCATATCCTTTCCCATCTTTCAATGTTAAAGACCTCGATACTGTAAGTGATTCATGTTCTGCTCCGTTACTAGTATGTTTCTCTCTGAGATAGCTTGGTTGAGCCGAGTCTTTTTTTAAGTGTTAAAACTGTATGATTTTACTCGAACTTTCACAGGTTGACAACGGATGCATTGAGCACCTATTCCCAACTCTTTACGAAGATGATTGGGATATTCTAATTGCACATTTTCTAGGCGTGGTATGTTGACGATTACCTTTTTGTCTTTTTCTCTGTCATTTTGCTATTCATTTCCTTGATTCAGTGAACTTTAATATTTGCAGGACCATGCAGGGCACATATATGGAGTGGATTCCATCCCCATGGTTAATAAGTTGGAGCAATATAATACGGTTTTAGAGGTAATCTTCTGCTAAGTATGGTTATCCCCTGTTAAAGGCTGCAGCGAAAACAAACCATCTTATCGATTAACTTTCGCTTGCATCATTCTCCAGTCCTGCAAGAAGTTATTAGCTTTTTGCTGTATTAATCCCTACTCATTTTCATTCTAAATTTTGCTTCGTCTAGAAAGTCATCGATATATTGGAGAGCCAAGCGGGACCTGGTGGTTTGCATGAGAGTACTATGCTTATCGTAATGGGTGACCATGGGCAGACATTAAATGGGGATCATGGCGGAGGAACTGCTGAAGAGGTAAGAAGTTGGTTTCTTCTTATATATGCTCTGCTTCACGATTTTAAGTCCACATTCACTTTTTAAATCCCTTGACAGGTAGAAACAACCATGTTTGCCATGAGTACGAAGAAGCATACAACTTCGATTCCTCCTGAGTTTGATACCGCATCTTGTAAACAAAATTCGGTAATTGTAACCTTCAGAACATATTCCTGAGTGATCACAAGAATTGATTTTGATATCTTTGTTACTGTGATTCTGTTGGGGTTATCCTAATGTCAGGCTGGGAAGCAGATTTGCGTCAGCTACATTGAGCAGGTTAGTGTCAAGCTTGATGAGGTGTCTTTCCTTTTGCTCTGTACAAACCTCTTTGCCAGACTTAATTATTTTTGGGCTATTTGCAGCTTGATTTTGCGGCAACATTGTCAGCTTTGCTTGGGATATCCTTTCCTTTCGGAAGGTGCCTTGTAAGGATCATTGTCAAATTTGCTTTCCTGCTTAAATCAGGAAATTATCCATTCACACATTAATATTTCTAACATTTTGTTATAAATCTCAAAAATTTCAGCATTGGGCATGTCAACCCTGAGCTCTATGCCCTTGGTTCCAGCAGCTGGAATTTGGATAACTTTGAGTTGAGAAATTTCGGCAGCCAATCAGCTGTTAAAGAGTGGGTGGAAAATTATGTGAATGTCCTCTGTGTGAATGCTTGGCAGGTAACTAGTCTTTCAGTTCGAAAAGTTAAAAATAGTTTCTTTCTAATGATATTTTGTTCTTTGGATTCTCATTTTCCAACTCCATTTGTATGCAGGTGAAAAGATATATAGATGTTTATTCTAATTCATCTGTTGTTGGTTTCTCTTCCGATGATATGTCGAGGATATCAGATCTATATTCTGCGGCGGAGCAGAATTGGTCTAAGTCTGTCAAACACCTACTGATGGATAGTAATGGAGACGAGGACAGTACAAAGATATCTGCCCTTAAAGAGCAAATTGCTGCATATTTGAGTTTCTTCTCAAGCCTTGTGGAACTTGCACGGTCTAAGTGGACAGAGTTCAATCTTAATTTAATGATCACTGGGTTTGCGATGTTGGTTATATCACTCATCCTTCAGTCTCTTGCCATATTCCATGGCGATAAACCTTATGCAGTGAATTCAGGGTTATCTACTGGTGCCGCGTTCACTCTCTTTATAGTATTGGTTCGTGCTTGCAGCTTCCTTTCAAACAGCTATATTTGTAAGTTTCAAGTAATTTTACCATTCTGTTTTTTTTTTTCTCGCGATCTTTGTTTTTTAGTGTACATTATTCTACCTGATGCTGACAAAGAACTTTTGTAATAAATAGTGGAAGAAGGAAAAGTTGCAAACTTTCTCCTGGCAACAACTGGACTTATCAAACTGCGGTACTCGGTTATGAGAAAGACAATGCGGAAAGAAGTCAGTTTTTTTCTTTTACTTTGTTACTTCTGGTTAGTTCCTTAAAAAAGCTGCTTGTTAGCTAATAATGTTTTCGTTTATGTTGTCTGTAGGCTGTTATATTCCTTGCTATGGTTTCTGTTCTCAGAGTTTCTATAGATATTGGGTTAACAAAGCAAGCTGCAACTTCTCAGTTTATGAGTAGCTCACCATCGTGGATGCTCGGGATAGCTCCAGACCATCCAGCATTGACATATGCGGTTGAAATTGCACCAATTCTATCGGTGGTTATACTCATTTGCGTGCTTTACAGAGTGATTGCTAAAACACCCAATGAGGGGCTATGGAAGTATGTTAGTGTTTGTAGTATGATAAGCTACTTCTTGATAGCATTGCTCTGGTCTTCGGAGACCAATATATTTGGTTTGGATGGTTTACTTCACGTGATTGGAGGAAGAAACCGCATCCCTCAAACGGTTTATATTATAGGATTGGTGCAGCTCTTCCTTTTAGCTTCCGCCCGTATGTTTTGCGCAGGAAATGACAAGAATTGGGCCATTAGAACCGTTGCTCTCGTATCTGCTTGTAGCTCGCCAGTAATTCTCTTGTCGCGGAAGCAAGGATCAATGCTTGCATTAGCATATTTGTTGGCTGGTAAATTTTTTTCCCTTTTTTCTTCTCATTTGACGATTCTATAAGCAAAAAAAGCTTCATAACAAAGATGGCAAATCAAGTCAATAAGGTTTTCTAACTCATGCAGTTAAATCTATGTAGGCTTTTGTATAATGAGGATGGAGGGTGTAGAGAGAAGAACGAAGTCAGATGGACAGAACAAATTCTCCAAACTAAATCCTCTCTCTGTGTTGCAATGGACACTTCTTTCTATATGTATGTTTTTCGCCAGCGGGCATTGGTGCGCCTTTGATGGCCTCCGTTATGGAGCTGCTTTTGTTGGGTAGGTCCTAAGTTTCATAAACTCAGATTACAATGGTCGTCTTCTTTCTATACGATGGTTTTGCTTACATCTTTTCTTCAGGTTTGACGAGTTTGTGCTTATCCGACAAGCTGTCCTATTGACAATTGAAACATTTGGATTCTCGATCATCCTTTCTGTATTTGGACTTCCTCTCCTCATACCAATCCACTCTCAAACTCCTCAGGCTCATGGAGAAAAGCGTTACCAGCTGTTTCAAGTAAGATATTGTATCTTTATATCGATTCAGCTTTGGTAAGTTATATTATAGAGAGTCACCAACAAAATATTTCTTTTTATTCTCATCAGATGTATATGCTCTATGGAGTTATATCCGCGACAACTGTGACAGCTACGATCCTCTGTGTCACCATCCACAGAAGACATCTGATGGTAAATACAGTAAGATTCACTCAGGCCAGAGGTTCTTGTGTTTTTTCTTTGTGACTAAACCATTGATCTCGTCTTCTTGCAGGTTTGGGGTTTGTTTGCTCCAAAGTTCGTCTTTGACGTTGTTGGTCTCATCCTCACTGATCTCCTCATCTGTTTGGCTTCAGCTTACTATCTTTGATTCATACTTGCAATTGATAAAGATATAATGGTAGATCTTGTAGGTACCTTTTTTTTTTTACTTCTCTTTGAATGTATAAATAATTATCAGAAATCTTCTTTTGAGCATTGATTAAAGATGACAGATTGATACACCTTTCAAATATCCAATCCTATCTTAGGTACTTGAGAGATGATTCATTTTCTCATTACAATAAGAGATGCAATCTACAAGAGTTCTCTTGTACCTTAGCCTCCATTGCACTGACAATCTCCATTTACTAATTATCCTGTTAGTTTTCCTAGAAAATTCTACAGCTTTCCCAGAAAGCCCAATGACATCCCCATTTATCAAATCCCACAAATGATTCACGTCGAGAAAAGCACGTACTTCACTGCCAAAAGCTTCTGTTTCTTTCTGCTTTAGACACACTTCGGGGTCTTGGAGGTTTTTAATGTCCTGAAGAAGCACAGTGTCCTCTAGGAGAGACGTTGGCAGATCCCTTAAAACTCTTCCACACTTGTCTGACATCCACTTCATGACTAGAATCTCATTCTTCACAGATATCTGAGATCCAGCATAGACAAGGCGCATAGCTGTCTTGTCACGCTGGTTCTGTGGGATCAGCCACAGTCTCAAAGTCGATACAAGCGCAAAAGATGGCTTACCGTCTTGATGAATGTATAAAGAATCTTTAGGCCATGAAGAAGCTAGAGAATAAAGGCTGGTTTCTAGAGGAATAAAGACCTTGTCATTTGAGTTCTCTTCTAACATAAACCCATAGTGCTCAAGAAGCTCCAGATTCGTGTAAGTCCCGTAACATAGAAGAACCTACGCCCACAAATACAATCGTAGCCATTATCTTTTCTATTTTATGCTTCCGCTTCATTAGTTTGGCAACGGTAGCAAAGCTAGTTAAGAACTTGTACCTGTTCTCCTAGCTGATAATTTCTTCTTGCATAAAGACAATAAGCATTGGCATCTTCATCAAATCCACCATCTGTGAGCCTTTCAGACTGAGTCTCAACAACATGTCCTGCCTCCTCCGCATTATTCCGACACTCGTGATGAGTAGTTGAAACAGGTTTAGGCGATGATGTCTGAATCACAAGCTCAGGACCTTCTGAGGTATTCAAATCATCTCCAGGAGCATCGTAGTTAAACAAGTCCCCCACAGGACACAAACACCCAGCACTATCCCATGGTATATGCAGCGTCCGTGAAGATATCTTCAAACAGAAAAAAAGAGATTGAAGCTGTAAGCTTGAAGAATCCAAGCAAGCGTCATGAAAGCCTGAGCTTTACACAAGAATTGTAATCGATTAACATTGATATCACAAACATAGATGAAGTATTCTTACAGTAGCGGAAGCCCAAAGCCATGCTTGAAGACTCTGAAACTTTGGCTTGAGATCTAACACCTTCATCAACGTAACAGCTTCCTTCCACTCAGACTGAGACTTGGCTATGGCCTTCTCTGCAGCCCAAACAGCATCTTCAACCTAAGGACATGATCACAGAATACCGTTTTTAGAGTTGGAATCACCAGAGAAAATAAAATGGACATGATCTCAATCTAGAAACATGAGATCTAACCTATTGAAAACCAAAATAAAACACAAAAGTGTAGTAGACACAGAACTTGTAAAGCTTGCTTCTCGAATTCGCCGAATGTAGACGAGAGATCATAGTCACGAGGTAAATGCACCAGGTATGGATACCAGAAAGATTTCTTCCCTTTGCTCATTTCATACAATAAGCATACACCCAATCTCTGCAAATTCCAAAGATTCTGGTAATGAGATTTCTCTCAGATATACAAAACAGAACGACATCACACAAAGAGTGGAGTGACGAGAGAAAGAGAACCTGGGTCGAAGAAATCGATCCGTGGAGATTAATGGCATCCCTCAATTTCTGATCTTTCGCGACCATTGATTCTGTGGTCAACAAAGCGTTTCTCGGGACTTTCAAAACCAATTCACCTTTCCTGAGCTCACGAACAGCTCCCAAACCTCTCCTAGTTCAATCAATCGAGCAAAGAGAGATGAGAAGACAAATTTAAGTGATTTTTGATAGAAAGGAAAAAATGAATTACGTTTCTACACGCACCCGCCAGCGAGAGGGAAGTCGGCGACGGAAAGGGAATGGCCGAGACATGAATCGAGAGATCGAGAAGAGTCAATGGAATCTGAAAGCCCAAGCTCTGCTGCCCATCGCAGGAACATTTCCATGGTTTGATGTTCTAAATCCATGCTTCGTCCGTCTTCTATCTTCTTCTTCCTGGGTTTATTTGACTCTCCTTAAACCCTGATTATCACGCGCAGGGATTTTTCTGTAAATTACGAAATTACTCAAGCCGGTCTTTTCGAAACATGGCTAACTTACTGGGTTAAGTCCGGTTTGGTTCGAATCCGTAGATCTTAATGGACCACAATTCCAAGTAGTTTTAGATTCTAAATTCAGTGAATATAAACAGTGAATGTTCCTTTTTCTACGAACAAGAAATACCTAATTAGAGTCTATATTCATCTGTCAACTGTCATGCTCCCGCTATTAGTCGTTATAAGAAAGTTTGACTAAGTAGAAATTTGATATTTTGATCTAAATCAACGAGAGAAAAACTAATTACCCTTTTTTGTCACAATTTATTATATAATTAATACGATTTTCGGTGGAGAAAACAGGTTAATCAAGTTGAGTGTATGCTAAACAGGAGAAGTACGTCACCACATAATCAGAATAAGTACACAGAATATGCAAAACAAGAGGAAGGAATATTCAGCAATTCTCACGGCTAAGAAAGAAAGTGGAAGCTTATAGCAAATTTTGTGGAATGTGGTGTTTCATGCATGTATTGGAATTTATTACGCTTCATGATTAGAAGCAAAGATAAGAAGATGAGATGATAAGAAACAGACTTAGATTGATTAAATCCTTGAGATATCTAGATCCAATTATCTAAATCTAAAAGGTTTCTGCAATTCGTTATTTTTTCTTTCTTACGTGTGTTCGTTCATGTAAAAAATGATAACGTAGTAGTTTAACGTTTCAAATAGTGCAAGTCCTTAACAGAAATACATAACTCTCTATTAAAAAGATTATAGACATAGTACTAGTATACATAATTGATGATGAATAAATAATTTGATTAGGTTTCTACACCACTAAATCAAAACTATATTTATTTTAGCTATCCTGGAACAGTTCGACTATTTTAGAATAAACTTGTTAGTGTGATTTAGCTAGCCAGAAAGACAAATTTGATACACAATTATGGGTTAAGAAATGTTATGTTAAATTGTAAAATGTACACACAAAATCGATTCGTGTATAATGGAATTAAGTGTTCCATGACACGTCCACTCATTTAGTGTTACGTGGTTGACTCTATAGGTAGCCATTAGCGAATTCTTTTATTTACTTTCTATATATATATATTACAACTTTTTCTAGACCATTTTAGAAACTCGAGTAACTAAAACTCGTCATCAAACGTCCCTATTCTATATTCTATATAAGTTGGATATTAAAATATTCAGGGGAGGAAAAACTTCAAAAAACAACTTGCAGCATTAAGTAACACTACGTGTCGAGCCATGTAACCATGTAAATGGTGACTACGGTCTATTTCTTTGGTACTTTTTTATAAGAAAACATAGTGTATACAATTTAATTATATTATTTGATATACAAAACGATAAAATTTTAAATTTAGGACTAAAAAATTATGGGCCACGAAAGATAACACAATTTACGAGTACACGTTTCCATTTACAACCGTGTCTACATCACTCGCCAAACAATTTTAGTACGTGAATTGTTTAACGAGTTATTGCACCGAATCTTAGTGATTTTCTCGTCATTTTTCATCGGCGATGATTTTTATTATTAAATGAAGAATTGTAATTTTTATTTCCTCGTTTCAGTTTTGCCAAATAAACAACTTATAAAATATTTTTTTAAAATTATGTAGCAAGAAAGATCGTTAAATATTTCCCTATCTAAAGAAGATTATGAATCTGAATTGAAACTAATGTTTTGCTACGACTACGGGTGTGATGATAAGTTTTGTGTGCGTTTTATATATCGAAATCGCAAGGTACAAAAATTTGATGTAATTGATTATGAACGATATCGATATATACTGTATCTAAGAACCAAATTGATGAAATGTATTTATACGTGACTACGTCAGTGAGTCATTGACACAAACTGTCGAACAGAGACGTTTTGGTCATTATATACAATACAACTACGGAAAACAATCAAAGACGTTTTTTTGTTTTTCAAAGTTACTTAATCTTTTTAGCTTTTACACACTTATCGTTACATCAAAAAGTGACAAAAACGTTTATAGGCAACGTATAACTTACAAGAGCATGTATTTCACACAAGATACGGATGAAAATACGGACCAAACTAAAAAATACTAATAAAAAATAGAAAGGGACAGAGGAAAAAAAAACAAAAATAGAAAAAGACAAACCTTCTGAACCTAAGAGAGGCGACTCCGTCTAGGAGAGGAGAGAGAGAGAGGAGGATACTGGAGAGAGCAAGTTGATTGCCAACGAGGGTAGAGAGAGAGTGTGAGGGTGGGACCCAAAATACCGACTAGGAGGAAATCTTGCTTTTTACACTTTGTACCAATTGTATACTGACACGTGGAAAAGCAACGTCGCCCACTTTTACCCTTCGGTGCTCCTCCGCACTTGATAAGCTTATCGGTCTCCCATTGGCTGTGTAGTCCACGTGGCATTTCTGTGATCTCTCTTTCTGCTTTTCTTATGTCAAACACACACACACTCTCTCTTCTCTCTCTCTAATCCTTTTTACCCAAAACTGGCATGGCCCCACCCAAACCCGAATGTCCTTTCTACCAACAAATACGTATTATACTAATTATATATGTTAGTTTCATATTTTATTTGTCTAATTAATAGCGATTGGTGACCCAATCTCCGTAATGAATTCAATGCCTAACTTGTTGTTTGACCAAAAAAATGTGTTACTTTTGATTTATGATGTTCGTAAGTAAACTACAATTTAAAGGTAATCTGTAAATTGGCAAAATCAAGTTTTCTACGCAATCTTGTAGAATTTTTAGCAATGATCCAAATGTGGTATAGTTACGTTTCGTAACACAAACAATATTTCACCACGATTATCCTTAAACCATTTAAATTTTATTTTGCTTTCTCTTAGATTTTGTATGTAAACAAATTTTAAAATGTTTAAAAATAAACCATTTCAAATGCTGGTTTAAATCATTAATATACAAAACATAAGCTTCTAATATTTTAGTTATTTATATCAAAAAAATTTACAGGTCTTAAATGGCAGTTATATCCAATCTGGCACTCAATTGGTGAATAAATCAAATATGGAATAACCTTTTTTGGTCAAAAAATATGGAATAACCTAAGTTTCCAAAAAATATTAGTATTTAATTCAGTTAAAAAATAGATACGAATTTGGCCAAAAGGGAGAAAATCAGGTTTAGAAGGTAAGTGATTTTTAATTGGGATCTTAAACGTTATACTGTATATGAACTTATATGAAAACTAAAAGTTTTTTGATGCATGACACGAGTCACAGAGTGCGAAAGTCACTTCGCCAGTCGAAAATTAGATAAAAAAAATATACATACACAGAAAAAATAACGACTTTTGTATTTATTCTGGCTCCTCATTAAATCCATAAGGAAAAAAAAAAGAAAGACAAGAGGGAAAGAAGAAGAAATTTGAGTGGGTGAGATTATTTGCGATAGAGGAAGAGACGTCGGCTTGTGTATGTATATATTTACAGTAAGCGTTGCAAGATAAACTTCTGGAGAATTTCAGACATTAATGGGTCAAAACCTTTTTCTTGTCTTTTGATTAATTTAATTGTTTGAAACTCTCCTCCTCCTCCGCCTTCTTCTTCTCCTTCTCACGGTGTATTTATCTAGAGAGAGAAGATAGAGAGAGAGAAAAAGGTAGGATTTTGTTTCCATCACTCATTTTCTATCGTTTGGTCAGCTTACTTTCTCATGCTATTTCACTGTTCTGCTGCTTTTGGACTCTTTTTTTTTTGTTCATTTGTATACCTTCACATGTTGTGAATCACAACGAAACGCAATCTAATTCCGTCTTTTGATTTTTCTGAAATTTCGAGCGGAAAATAGATGAACCCAGTTGAGTATTTAGCCAAAATTATAGGGGATTTGCTTATTATTATTTTTTTGTTCTTCACTTGTTTTTGAAGATCTTCTCGTTACCTTTTTGTCTCTTTGCTATGAAATTGGTTACTTGGTTTGACAAATTGAGTTTCTTTCTCGCTGTATTCCGCTATACATAGTGAATCAGAGATCTCGATTTCTCATCAATATTTTTTTTGTGACCATTTGCAGGAAAGCATTACTATTTACTTGGATTTGATTCTTCTAAGTGAAGAAACAGAGTAAAAAGTTGAGATTTTTACATCCGTCTCTGAAGAACTTGAGTATGTCTTCTGTAGCAGTGTTATGGGTTGCTGCCTCCTCTCTAAATCCAGACCCAATGAACAATTGTGGGTTGGTAAGGGTTCTAGAATCTTCTAGACTGCTCTCTCGTTGTCAGAATCAGAGAGTAAACAATGGTAGGAGGAAGCAAACAACAACTTGGACTTCTTCTTCTGTAAGGAGCTGCAGAAGAAGAAGAAGGGGTGTTGTGTCTTCAAGCATGGTAGCAAGTCCTACAGGAGAGATAGCCCTCTCATCTGAAGAGAAGGTTTACAATGTTGTGTTGAGACAAGCAGCTTTGGGGAACAAACAGCTTAGGTCTACTTCTCCTGATCTTGACGTGAAGAAACCACAAGATATTGTTCTGCCAGGGAGTTTGAGTTTGTTGGGTGAGGCTTATGATCGATGCGGCGAAGTTTGCGCTGAATATGCTAAAACTTTTTATCTCGGTTAGGATCTTCTTCTTCTTCTTCTTCTTTTTTCTTTTCTCATCTCTTTTAGTGTAAAGAAATTGTATATTCGTTTTCTTAGTTGTAGTGGTTTTGTTTGCAGGAACTTTGCTTATGACACCGGAAAGGCGAAAAGCGATTTGGGCTATCTACGGTGAGTTACTGCACGAAACAGATGGTTTTTTGGGATATTTGCATTGTCATCACTGATTTGAATTCTAGATTAATAAAGTGATGCTCAAAGTAGATTAGAGATGAAGTTTATATCAAAGTAGATAATCCAATGTGTTGGAAGCTTCATCTGGATCTATTGTATCTCTTAGTATATTTAGCTAAATTATCTTAGCATTCTAAGAAGCTGAAATAGATTCCTTGAATACTCATGTAGACAAAAGACTTCTCTAGTTGGTTTGAAGTCCATGAAGCACCAAGCATCCAAATTTGTACCCTTTCAAGATTAAGACCCAAGATAATTGAATTAGCTTAGTCACTAATATGGAATTTAAGTGGGCTTTTTGGGCCCAGTTGTCTTAAACTCTGGAGATTACTCATGCTCAACAATGTTAGTTCATGACCCTTTGGGATACTATTATTTAAAGGGTTTGAGGAATTCAAAAACTAGAACATATATCAGAAAGGTTGTTTTCTTTTATGTTGGTTTGGTCTCGGTTTGATTAATTTTTACTCTTTTCTTGTGTGTGCAGTTTGGTGTAGAAGAACTGATGAACTCGTAGATGGGCCTAATGCTTCACATATAACTCCAATGGCGTTGGATAGATGGGAAGCAAGGTTAGAAGATCTTTTCCGTGGCCGTCCTTTCGACATGCTTGATGCTGCTCTCGCTGATACTGTTGCTAGATACCCGGTCGACATTCAGGTTCAGCCTTGCTCTGTCTTATCTAAGTTCCACATTTCATTTAGCTGGTCAAAATTGCATTCAATCTATTGTGATAATCAGTCCCTATAAACTTTGATCTGATGTTTTCTTCGTTTTGCAGCCATTTAGAGACATGATCGAAGGAATGAGAATGGACTTGAGGAAATCGAGATACAAGAGCTTTGATGATCTCTACCTTTACTGCTACTATGTCGCTGGAACCGTCGGTTTGATGAGCGTTCCGGTTATGGGCATCGATCCTAAGTCCAAGGCAACGACCGAGAGTGTTTACAACGCTGCCTTGGCCCTCGGTATAGCCAATCAGCTTACCAACATTCTCAGAGACGTTGGCGAAGAGTGAGTTTTTTCCTCAAGATTTAGTTTCTTGATTCTACCTAAAGGTTTCTTGATTTTACATACCTCGCTTACTTAAATGGGTTTTCCTGATTTTACACGTTTATCTAAAACCGGTTTCTTGGTCCAAATCTCAATCCTAAACTGGTTTTTGCTCTCTGTCAGTGCGAGGAGAGGAAGGGTTTATCTGCCCCAAGACGAGTTAGCTCAGGCTGGTCTCTCAGATGAGGACATTTTCGCTGGAAAAGTGACTGACAAATGGAGAAACTTCATGAGAATGCAGCTTAAACGAGCAAGAATGTTCTTTGACGAAGCTGAGAAAGGCGTCACTGAGCTCGACGCTGCTAGCAGATGGCCGGTAAGTGTCTCTAAAAACACTCTTGAGTATAAAAATTTTTTTTTTTGATTTTTTTTGCCCCAGAACTTTGTTTTTAATCGATTTAACCCCGAAGACTTTGGCTGTCCCATATTTTCAGGTATGGGCATCGCTGCTATTATACAGGAGAATATTGGACGAGATTGAAGCGAATGATTACAACAATTTCACGAAGAGAGCTTACGTGGGGAAAGCCAAGAAAATTGCAGCTTTGCCATTGGCTTATGCAAAATCAGTACTAAAGACTTCGAGTTCAAGATTATCTTCTTCTTAGTCGACATGAATGAGATGCAAAAGGAACAAACCAAAGAGAGGGCTTTTGTGATTAAAGAAAAAACTTAGGGTCGAATTTATGATGTTAACTAATATCTACATACATATATAAATGGGCAAAAAAAATCTTATGATGTTCATTTATTTTTCTCTATGTAAAAAGTAATTATTTTTTAATTTTATTTCTCTTGGCTTCTGAAGAAATAGGAATATTTTGTTGGAAATGTAGTTCTGTGATATATAAAAAAAAAGAAATTATATAAACAGAAATTCATGGAGCTAAAAATAAATTAAGGTGTCATGATACAAAAACAAACTTTATATTAGGTTCACAACCTATTGGAAAAAAAATTCCACAATAATTCAGCAATTTGTAATAATACCTAGTAATGTATATATAAAAATTATAGAATAATACTGTATATCAAACTGAAAACTTGGTAATTGAATACCAATAGTTAGAATACTGACCTACGATTTTTTAAAATTAAAAGTCTTATTTGAGTTAGTTCTTTTGGATAAGAGAAGTAGAGAAGTACATTAGTTTTCGTAGATGAGAACTGGATATCTGGCTTTGACCCAAGGAGATAGTTCATTTATTTGATATTTTAAGCACAACCACGAAAGAACCAAACAATATTCATACAGCATTTGTATAGTAATGCATGATAAACCAATCATGCTACTAAACACCATCCAATTGACGAATTAAATTCATAAAAAGCACAAACAGAGCATAAATATGAAGTTTATTTGGGTCCGATCATCACAAATTGGAACTAGTTCACAAACCAGCCATCTCCATAAGCTTCTTCCAAGACGGTCTAGCCGTAATCTCTTCCCACCACCGGTTCATATTCACCCGAGCCTTAACAATCCGGTTTATATCGGTTATACTCATCAAATACCGCATTGCCGGCATGTGCGTCAAATCAGCCATAGTGAATTCATCACCACCCAAAAACCGGTTCGAAGAAAGCCGGTTATCGTACACGTCCAAGACCACCTCGAGCTTCTTTTTGAGCTCCTCGACCAAATTGAGGTCACATTCTTCGCCTAACTTGGGCTTGATGACTAGGTTCATCACAATGGGGTGTGCCAGAACGTTGAAGTAATGGACCTCGACATCGGCCCACTGGTCCACGATGGCTCGATGCTCTAGTGACTTGCCCAAAAGGTTGGTGCCTTGGTCCGAGTACTTAGTTGCGTAGTATCTCGCAATGGCTCGTGATTCTTTTAGCACACGCACCAAATTTCAAAACACATTACGTAAATGATACTATGATAGAAAAAAAATACTAACAAAATGTTTTAAAACTTTGTTGTTTGGATCTTATCCCTATTGTACTTTAACTATCTGGGGTGAAACGAAATTAGAAGTAAAAAAAAAAAGAGAGAAGAGGATCTCACCAAAAAGCTTAAAATCTCCATCTTCTATGGCCGGGACTTGACCAAATGGCTACAAGAAAACAAGAATTGAGTTATAGATAATCACATGATCTAAGAAAACAAATAAAAATATGGATAAAATAACATTTTTACCTGACGAAGAAGATGTTCTGGTTTTTTTTGCTCTAGTGTATCAAGATCGACGTGAATAATCTCGAATTCAATTCCTTTCTCCAGAAAACAAAGCAAAACTCTTTGTGGACAAGCTGCCGTTATCTGTCCGTATACTTTCACAACCATTTTTATTTTACAATAACTTTGTAAATATTTTTATTGGTAATTACGTACAATTTGTATGTGGTTTTTAAAAAAATTTGGTCGGTCAATCTTATTTATAATTGAGAAGAAGTGAGAGTAGAGGTGTTGGGAATTTACTATACTCAACATTTTTAAGAGCTAAGCTGGTTGTTGTGCTGGTTGGGTAGAGCATGTGGTGGTTGTTCCACTAGCGGTGGATATCATTCAAAATACTCTAAAGACTATAATTTCAAATATCAAATTCGTTGACAGTTATATATCAATAACAAATTCAGTATTTTCGATGTTTTTGGTATACACTTGTTTCAGAATCGAATTGGTTTAGCCGAATTAAACGACTGCTTTCTGCATATAATTCATATACGTGCAAATTTTGACGAGTAGGTTAAAATAATTTTTATCTTACGATTACCAAGCTAGATTAAAATCGCCTGAAAAAAGATATTTGAACAAAACGAAATTTGGTTTTTCATAAATACCCAAAATGTTACCCCCTACGACCTTTTATCTGTTATCTAATCTAATTGTTTCAGTTTTTGGTAAAAGAGAAGAACACTTGTCAACAACCACACCTTCTTTTTTGTCGTCCTTCTCAACAACCACTTTAGATTCACAAAAGATAAGAAATCAACAACAAAATTCTCATAACACTTCACAATAAATAACAAATGAGGTTGTTCGGGATTTCAAAATTCCAACAACATTAATTATCATTAACCAAGTTTTCATAATCTTTGTTTTCACACGAATCATAAAGTTAAAACAAACAAAAGAGCGTTTCTTCATTCTATCTAGATTCTAGATATCCTCCTAAACCCTAACGTGTATCACAAGCAAGCCTTGTGCAGTGTTCAAGTGAATTGTCTTCTCATGTAAGTATCTTCATGAACAAAGACAGGATCTTCTACTCTCTCCGGAATCTGAGGCTGTCCCATTGCTATTCCTCCTCCTTGGTTCGCCACCGTCGTTGTGTCAGCAACATTTTGCTTACTCGAAGTCAAACATAGATAGTAGACAATCCCGAGGGCTATAGTGAAAAGTGAAAGCACAGAAGCGGTAGAGAAAACGCCCGGTTTCACAATGTAGCAGAAGTAGTTACCGGCATACATTGTCTCCTCGGTGTGTTCATCGTTGAGTGCAGCTGCAGTTAGCAGCACGAGGAAAGCTACCACAAAAGTAAACCTAAAGTAACACAAGAACATCATCAGTTGTAAGCAAACTATTAAGTAGGAGAAGTTACAGCCAAAGAAAAAAGGAGAAAGAAATGTACCAGGAAACAACGAAGCAGGTTAAGGCAATAATCCAATGAGATCTGGAAGGAGCAGGACCTTTTCTACAACAGAAACAACCGCTTCCGACGCTCACGATTATCTGAGCCATCATTAGAAAAATAGCTGAAGTGAAGCCGAGATCGTAAGCTGGACTTCTTGGATAAGAGCATCTTGTGAGTGAACCCAATTTGGTAACCTTGACCTGAGATTTCTGCATCGATTTAAGATAATATTGAGAAAAAAACCATTAGACCGAGCTTGAAAGCTTGCACAGATACTATACCAGAGACAGCCAATAGCTGGGAAGAAGTGGATTGTACACAAGAAAGATCAAAGAACTTGAACATCCCCTAACTTTTTTGTGATCTATAAAATTAAATTAGCAATATATTATTTCCAAAAGATATACCCACAGGACACACCAAAGACAACTCAAAACACAGAGCTTCTATAATCTAAGTCTTTCTGCTTCTGTAGTACCATAGCTATTGAACTTTTCTAAGATCTTCCAAGTTTAAAAAACAAGAATTTCTCTGTGAAGAATAATCAGTGATGGGGACTTTAGCTGTTTCATTAACAAGTAATTAAGTCCTAAACCAATAAATTTCCAATTCATACTCAAAAAACTTATCTCAAAAATTGAAGCTTTCATCTTCAAACGCCGTTGAATCCGACGCATTCCAAGCAATGAATTTCAAAATTCGGAAGAAAACAAAAACCCCACAATAAAGGAATACTTTGTTTTCTTTGGTCTTTTCAGAGACAACCCGATTAAATTGGAACTGTCATTTTTAAAAAAAAATTCTCTTTACCCTGAGAATTTCAGCAACCGTCGAGATTGAAATTACCCAAAATTCATGCGAGAAAAAGATGAAAAATTTGACTTCAGAGCTGAACAATACAGCAGAAACACTATGAGTATTTTGATTCAGCACGAAGAAGAAGCTCAGAAATAGAGAGAAACCTTGATTTTGGTAGCTTCAGCAGAGAAGGCAGTAATAGCTGATAATAAAGCCAGAAGAGATAACACACCACACATCACAACCTTTCTTTTCTCCATCTCTCTCACTTCTTCTCAGATGCTTTTTTTTTTTTTTTTGCTTTTCTTTCTATTTTCTTCTCTCTCGGTTCCAATTTAATTGCTGGCTTTTTGGGTTCTTCTTCGTTTGTAAGAAAACGTAAAGTTGGTGACAAAACCCCATTAAACACACCGCACTCACTTTCTTTGTTTTGCTCTCCTTATTGATCCACGCGTAGGGCTACTTTCGGTAATTTCTTCCTTTCGTTTACAGCACGAACGTCTTTGTTACCATATATCCTTTGTTTTTTCTTTCCTTTTTACTCAAACATTACCATTTTTATCATTTTAATTACCAAATATAATCCTATTAGTATTAGCAAGACAATCCGCATATTGAATTTTCCTAGGCCTAGAATTTTCTGGTTAACAAAAAAAAAGTAAAAAGTTGATGCGAATTAAAGAAGAAACAAATGATGCAATTAAAGGTGTAAAAACAGTTTACCTCTATTAATGATTAATGAATCTACTGCAATATTTAGATAAGCCACATAAATCATTTGTTCCCATAATCAATCATGTAGCCATATCGAAATTTAAAGAATCAAGCATAGATAAGTAAAACATCACTTCAGTCAATATACAAAGTTGTAAAGCTTTTCTTTCTTGAGGGGGTTAGATTTCTTAAATTGATCAAACGATATGAGGGTATTCTATAGTTATAAGAATTTCGATATATCATTTATGATCCTAATCAGTTTCGGTATTAAGACACAGAATATTGGTGATTAGCTATAATCTCTTACCATAAAACACATGAAAATTAAGCACAATATCTATCAATTAACCACCTATCTTTATATACAAATCCATATATACACACATTCTCTTTAAAATATATATTACCATCTTCAAGTATACGGGTCGTTCAAAGATGAGGAGGTCTTCGTTTTTCATCGTCTCGTTAATGGTATGCTTGTTTCAAATAAGCAAATCAGGTGCTCATGATAATGCTAAAAATGGATTTGAAAGCCATCGTCGATCCATAAGTGTCACTAGTTTCGGAGCTGTTGGCGATGGAAAGACCGATGATACTAAGGTATATAGACTCCCATATTGGAAACCAACGACGCTTCTTTTTGTTTGTGTTTTGTTAAATATGATATAATATGATTTTTTTTCTTTGATATATATATATATATATGTATATATGTATACTGTGAGTCTCTGAGATATATTTGTATCTGTATGAATGTATATTTCAGGCTTTTCTTAAGGCATGGGAAGGTGTATGTAACGGAGGAAGTAAACGCAATAAAAGGCTTCTAGTGCCTTTAGGAAAAACCTTCATGATTAAACCTCTTACATTCGTCGGTCCATGCAAGTCTTCCTCCATCTCCTTCTTGGTATATACATTTTAGTTCCCTTTTGCTTAGTTTCAAGAACTTGGGTGCTAAATTAGTGAAATGCAATTGATAGAAATCAGTGTTTAGCTTTGAGAAACAGTCTTAACCAAATCTTCTCTTGTAAAGCAGGAATATTCAATCCAATAATATTTTATAAACTAGTTTGCGGGTTTGATTGCATAGATAAAAGGCAATCTTGTAGCGCCGGGTTACACTTGGTATGCGGGAAGGTACCCATCATGGATTAGTTTTGACAGTATCAACGGTCTAGTTGTCACCGGAGGCGGCACCATCGACGGTCGTGGTTCTGTGTGGTGGGGAAACGTTCAACATCGTCCCACCGTAAGTCCCTTTGCAAGATCTTTACACTCATTAGTATAAACATTAATTAATCAAACCGTTTATTAGTATGCATTGATGTTTGTTTCTTTTCTTTGGCTTTCTTTTAGGCAATGCACTTCAACAACTGTAATGGTCTTAGGATGTCCAATCTCCGACACTTGAACAGCCCTAGGAACCACGTAGGTCTAAGCTGTTCAGAGAACATCAAGGTCTCAGGTCTGAAAATGAATGCACCTGGTGATAGTCCCAACACAGATGGTATCGACATATCCAACTGTAGAGGAGTCGAGATTCGTGACTCTGTGATTGCCACTGGAGATGACTGCATCGCCATTAATAGCGGTTCCTCTTTTATCAACATAACCGGCATTTTTTGCGGCCCCGGTCACGGCATCAGGTGATTCCTAACTTCACAAACAACTACATTATAAAGTATACACTAAAGTGTTAATAAAGAATATGGATTTGATATCATAGCATAGGAAGCCTTGGAGAAAATGGATATTTTGCAACCGTTGAAGAAGTGAGAGTAAAAAACTGCACTTTGAGAAACACAACGAACGGTGTCCGAATCAAGACATACGAGGTTCTCCATTTCATCATTAATCTTCTATTCATCTATCTTTAATTATTGATCTTTCCATTCAGTTTATTCCTTAATTCGATTGTTTTTTATTTGTGTGAATGTGTTCACGTAGAACGGATCAGGATATGCTCGGAAAATCTCATTTGAGGATATCAACATGATCGCTTCAGAAAACCCTATAATCATCGAACAGAATTACCACGATTGGGGCAAGAACGGAGAAGTAAGCTTTGAAGATAGTAACTATCAAAGTTGTCACTTCAATCACTTGTACAAGACTCAGTCTAGTGGTAATGGCAGAGGCGTGAAAGTGAGCAATGTGCGTTACACTAGAATCTTGGGGTCATCTGCGAGCGATAAAGCCATCACATTGAACTGCGATGCGGACTTGGGATGTGTGGACATTGTCATGGACCATGTCAATATGGTTTCAGCTACATCAGGTCGCGAGGTTTCTGCTTCCTGCAAGAATGTTCGTGGGATTTATTTTAATTCGATGGTTAGTTGTCTGAAAAAGCATTAGGGCTGGTCGTTGTGATGTTGCCTTCCCATTGTAAAATCCATTTGTTGGAAGAACCAAAAACAATATGGATTTGCTCTCACTTTTTTTAGAAGAGCTATTTAATCCGAGGTTTTTTTTTTTTTAAATAAAAATAAAAAAAGATAATTAGGAGTTGGGGTCGCTTAACAAAAAACTGAAACTTTGTATCCACAAATACATAGTAACAGTCGAAACTCTCTGGAGGTTGCTTTATAAACGATCATATTATAATCACTGCAAAATCTTGAGATTTTGGAGAAGAAGAGAGAGATCAAACACTCTTTCATTGTGTAACAGAGAGATTGGGAAGACGTTCAAAGGGCTAAATATTATAGCTTTCAAAGGGTATCGAGCAAGAATTAAGATTCATGGGGAAACTAGTTTATTAATTTTAGCTACCTTACCTATTAAGAACTGAAATTAGGAAGCTATGGACTAATCTAATCATAAAACTGGAGTCTCTGTTTTTTGACAGAAGAACAATGATAGTATTATTTTACAGTTCATGATTACAGTTCGCACATCGGATGCATCATATCAACCAATATAATCGAGCACAATCATCAAACAAGACTTCAAGTGTGAAAATTTCATAGCAAGTATCATCAATTGAGAAAGACGATGACTTTAAAATTATAATCCAAACGGGTAACAGATAAGAGACTAAACACCGATTGAAGAAGGCATAAGAACATATATATATATATATATATATATATATATATATTGAAGTAAGATAGATCCTTCCAATCTCCAGAAAACAAAGTAACAGAGAGAGTAGAAGAAGGCACTGAAAAAACGCAGAAAAACACACCAAAAATCTAAAGCAGCAAACACTAAAATAGACGAGAGACGACGAAGGCTACGCTTAATCCTTGTTCTTGAGCCTCTCGACCCGCTGGTTAAGCTGCTCGATCTTGACCACCAGATGCGTGACGGAGTAAAGGATCCAGTAGAAAACGAGAGCCGACGCGATGAGAAGTGCGTTACGCTGAGATTTCATGATCGATTTCTGGTGACGGAGGTGCTCGGAAGGAGTACAGGAATCGCCATCGCAGGAAGGTCGAGTCTCGTACTTCCAGTAGATATCCATTAACAGGAAGAGACAGAAAGGTATAATCGAGAGAAACGGCTTCAGGAGATTACGCGTGACGGCGATCAACCCCTTGCGGAGAGCGTCGAGTCCCGGCATCGTCAAGAGGATGACCATGATCGCTTCAGCCGCCGCCGCGTAGCCTAAGACAACCCATTCGAGAGCCATTGTTTTTCGCCGGAAGATTTTCGATCTAGATTCGATGGAACGAAGGTTGGAGATGAATTAGATCTGACTCGGTGAAGAAGAATTTTGATTTAGATTTTTTTTCTTAGTAAGCAAGTTTAGGGTCCTTGCTTTCTGATTTTTAGTACAAAAAGGAGGATGATGTACGGAGGGTGAAGCACGTGGCGCTTGTGTGGTGTACGCGTATCACACGTCGAGGTTTAAATGGGCCTAATTTCAGCCCAATAAATTTGTTTCAAAAAGGTCTTAACATAATCTAGTTTGTTTTCCTTATGTCGACTAAAAAAGCCTAGCTTTTTATTCAGTGATTTTGAGAATTTTTAATTTGCAAAAATATTGTATGTGCTAGTTGTTTTGTTAGGTAATGTTTTACATTGTATTAAAAAAAAAAAACATATAAACAGAAACAATAAAATAAAACCCAAAACATATAAAAGGAAAAAGAATAACAAAGTTTCATAAAAATCAAGAATAACAAAGTTTCATAAAAATCAAGAATAACAAAGTTTCATAAAAATCAAGAATAACAAAGTTTCATAAAAATCAAGAATAACAAAGTCTCATAAAAATCAAAAACCAAATTTCTAGAATTCCAAAACAAAATAAAAAATTTAATAACGAAAGATATTCTAGTTATCAAAGAAAAAAAAAAGCCATTAACCTAAGAAGATTCCAAGTCATTATTCTCTATCACAACCCAATCTTCCAAGTCTTTAGGGATTCCATCCTCGACATGTTTCTTCGAGACTTGAAGTTGATTCTCGACATGTTTCTTCGAGACTTGAAGTTGATTCTCTGTTTTATTTTCATTATCTTCTGGATCAAACATATCAACCTCCTTTTTCAACTCGTGTGGATTAATAAAAACACATGAATCGTTTTTCAACTCGTCGGGATTAAACACACGTGACTCTTTCTTCAACTGCTCATTAATCAGAGCTTGAGATAAATGACGATGTCTAACCAAAAACGTGGAAGCTCCGAATACTCGGTCTTCACCATCAGCTCCAAGCTCTCCAATCACATTATCGACTGCAGACATTGTCATAGGAGTAGAATCGTTGCCTATAATGCCACGCACGTTAAATTCACTCTCTGAGATCTCGCCGTTGTTAAATTGATCGAGCTTTTTGAAAGCTTCTTTGAAGTCTTTTGCCTTAGACATCGTTTGTTAATGATGATTTTACTCTTAGAACTCACCTTTGTATAAGCTCTTGTAATGCCTTAACCTCTGTATTTATGTAACTTTCTATGGAATTTAGAATTATAAAACAACTAGGATTAGGAATTAAGATTGGAACTCTTTTTTTCCTTTTTTTTTTTGGTCTAACACAAATGGATAAAATCTTCTTTTAATTATTTGTACTTATCGAGAGACAAAAAAGCTTGTAAATTTAGATAATTAAGGAGTAAACCAAATTAATTAAAAAATTATTATGGGCTGAAAACGTGTTTTAGTTGAAACTCTCTGTGAAGGTTGTTTCTACTTTCTTGTATCGTTTATCATGTAATTATTGAAACCGGCACGTAACGAAAACTGAATTAAACTCTCAAATTGATGTGAATGTCATCAACATTCATTCTCGGTTTACAATCACAAAAGCTTTTTAAGAAAGGACTTGTTTGATGATAGACATTATTATAAAAGTTTATAAAAATGTTATTGAAGACCATACACAAGCAAAGCCCCAACAGCTCCAAGACCGGCTAATAAGCCAACAATAACACCGATCGGAGGCAATCCTCCTCCTATGGCCTTCCCTGTGTTCACGTCATACCTCGCAAACCTTTTCTTTGGTGCTATACACTGAGGACATACGTATGTATCCGGCTGCAAAAACAAACCCCGAGAAAACAATCAAAAACACAGTTATAAGATGTGTCCAAACCGGAAAGTTTTCGAATGCCAACAGCTACTGAAATCAATTTTATCCAAGAATGGGAAGAACAATAAGAAGTTGTGATCTAGAGATGTTTGGGACAAAAGTGATAAGGATCAAGACTCACCTGTTCATCAAAAGGTTTGGGTAATGTGTATATGAACCCACAATCAAGACAAATGTGACTAGCTCTTGCCTGCAAAAGAGCGAGAGAAAATGTTCAGACAAAGAAACCATCTAAGCTTTGAAAAAAGGGTTTGATGATGATATGGTATTATTCCAATCTTGGAACTAGTATACTAGCCTTTTGAGTCTCGGTTAACTTTCTTCCAAAACGAGGAGGAGCCGGACGCTTATTCAGTTTCTTGACATCAACTTCTGCACCTCTGTGTTTGATCAAATGACACAAATTGCATCAGACACAAGTTAAGAACCGCACAAAGCATCAGAAGAAACCTCAGGTACTGTTTTATGAAAAGCAAAGTCTTGGGAAAATATAACGACATATTATAGGAAGAGAAACTTAACCTCAAAAAAGATTTATCAAAGAACAGAGAAGCCACATTTCTAGGAAGATCACCACCTAAATCAAATCAAGAGAGCCAAACACACATACACACACTCTCACCTGCTGACAACAAAGTAGACAGAATCAGGTTTGGCCTGAATTGCGGTTTTAGTAAACCCCAACTTATCTGCAGGCCAAAGCTCATCTCCAAAGAAGCTGCTTGTGTACAGAACTTGATCTCCAGATTTAAGCCCAGCTTTTGCTGCATTACCACCTCCTTCCACACCCTGAAAATTAAATAAAACTCTCCTTAATTTTATAAAACAAAATATATACAAGAATGCCACTTCATTGCAAAGGTACTAAAACAAAACAAAGAAAGCTCACGGTGATGACAACTCCACCGCCTTGCTTCTGTCCTAGAGTCAGACCAAGAGGCTTGTCTACTTCAACCTCTATTGTCTTCGAAGCTGCTGTTCTTGCTTTGATTTCGAATCTTCTCGACCCATTCAACACTCCGATCTTTCTCTCCGACACAGCGAAAATCTCTGATACACTCTTCTTCGAATCTTCCAACGAAACTCCCTGAAACCCAGTTTTCTAAACACAAATAGAAAAAGATTCATACTTTCAGATGACGCTAATTCCAAATCACATCTTAGCGGAAGAAAACGAGAAATCAAACTCGACCCTTCATAGTAAGCAAGCTTGTGATTGAAAATTTTAAAGAGATTGAAAAGAAGAGAAAGACCTGGGAAAAGAGAGAGGAAGATGAATGGAGTTTGGGAGATGGGTTTGATGTTGAAGCAGTTTTGGTGAAGAAAGAAGAGACAGTAGCTCCTGAAATCGCACCAGACGTTGCCATCACTCTCTCTCTCTCTCGGATCTCTCTTTCTGATGTGATCGAACGAAGAAGCTTGTCTACTTCTTGATTCGTGGAGATGTTAAAACTTTCGAAGCTGCTGCATGCGCTTTTGTGAGGACGCGAGAGAAGCTTTTGCTCTTTTTTAGTGGAGGTGTCAAAGCCTCCAAAGAGATAACCTTTTCGTGGTAATCGCAACATTTTCGTGTGCTATGCACGGTCCACTCTGACCACACTCTTCTCATCTTCCTCATAAAATTTAAGGATTACAATTTACAAATATTTAGTCTATTTATATAAATAGATTTTCAGATTTTTTATTAATAATATTTTTAAGGTTTTATCTTAGGGGTTCGCACGAATTATAAGTAGATATTTTGGATTAATTATGGAGGAACGACATTGAATATGTCATCAATTATCATGGATGAACATTATTGTCCAGATCATGGACAAATAGTTGATTATGAAAAACACTAACAACACTTACTTTAGTCAAACACTAGGAACAATTCATAGCAAACAAAACTCTTCTCTTATATTGTATGTATTTTCCGGATTTGTAATAAAAAATTGAAGTAAATCTGTTATGTTATGTTCCAATAACGAACCAAAAACTTTTGATGTTATGATGTTATATGGATGTAACGCCTGTTTTGCCATTTTTTGCTGGTTTTGAAAATTACTTAAATTTGGCTAATCCTCAGGAGGTTCTTCTGATTGAGAATGATGAAGATCACCACCACCTCCACCAGCAAGCGACTAATGCATTCTCTCCCTTCTGCTAGTTTGAGACCCAAAATTAACGCTTCTATTTGGGCTTTACAGCCTCTACGGCCCATGAATATACATACAGTACTTCCATTTTTTTATGATTTTGAAATACGTACTGTAATTTTCGGAAATTTTCTTGCTTGTTTTGGCAGATTAAAAAAATATTAGTAATTCCAGAAAATTCAAATTTCAAACATCCGCTCCAACGCTCACTTCCAAACTTAGGGATTCAATGGCATCTCTTGGGGACGACGACGTATAAATACCCTCAATATCCTCACACCTTTCTACTCATAGGCGAAAAACATCTTGTTTTCTCTCTCCCCAGCCAAAAGAAAAAAATCACAAACTCAAAAAGGAATTTATCTTTCTCTCTATTTTCGCGGATATGGATTTCCACAGCCTTCTGAGAAGGGATCTTCAATTTCTCTGCAAGAGGAACAAAATCCCTGCCAATATGACCAATCTCGCCATGGCCGATGCTCTCAAAGCTCTTGACATTGTAAGTTTTCTCTTCCTCTGTTCGCTCCATTTCCCTTTAGGATCCCAACAATTTTTTTGCTATATCATTCGCCGTTCAAATCCTTGATTACATCTTGGCTCTTTTGCTGCTTCAATTTCAAGTCAGTATTGTGAATCTGAGCTTCACTTTGAGCTGGTGAATCTGAGCTTCACTTTGAGCTGGTGAATCTGTGCTTCACTTTGAGCTGGTTGAGGTCGTGTGTGATCGTAACGAGAACTCATTTTTGCTTCTTAGATTTTGTCTCGTTATTTCTGGATCTCAAAATGTCGTCTCCGTGCTCGATCACTGCTTATTCCATCGTTTACATCCAAATGGACTCTGATTTGATTGAGATCGTGTTCATGATCGGTTTACCTCCATGACTGTTGATGCTTGATCTTAATCTATACAAATGGTGAATTTGATCCTCATAAATGTTTGTTGATTTCGCCATTTCGGTTTAATCTGCTGTTTTTTAGATCATTTTTCAGTGAACCAAGTCTGAGTCGTAGTTTTCGCTCTTGAGTTGTCGTATGTGTTTTATATAAAGTCGTATCTTGGTCATTGCTTGTGGTTTCGTCTAATGCACTGTGATTCTGTATTTTGACTCCTGGATATGGAATTTTACCTGTGCTTTCAATATGATTTTGCAGCAGGATTCATTACACCACTAATGCTTTGTTTTCATTTCCCTGTCAAATCAATAGGTTGAAGGTCTTAATGAATACATGAATCAATCCGACTCCAATGTTCTTCAGTCACCAACCAGTGTAGCAAAGCAGCCGCCAAGTACTGCAACTAGAACAACTCGAAGGAAGACAGCAATAAAAGCTGAACCTCAGTCGTCATCACAGCTGGGGAACCGTTCTTGTCATATGACGAGCAAGTCTCTAGCAATCACAGAAATGGACCAGGAAACTATAAACAAGAATGTTTCTCAACAACCGGATACTAACATTGTCAAGTCTCAAGACAATGTGGCCAAGACTCCTGCAGCACGAAGCACAAGGAAAGCTTTAGCAGCAACTTCTTGTAGCAGCAAAGTTCAGGAGAGTAAGAAGGATGTGTTGGTCCAGTCGGTGTACAGCACAAGGAGATCAACCAGGCTGTTAGAGAAATGTATGGCTGATCTGAGTTTGAAGACTAAAGAAACCTCGGTTAATGATAAACCTGAGAAGAATGAAGAAACAGAACAAAAAGTATCTGCACAGGAGAAGATTCCAGCTGGTTAGATACAATGCCTTTTCTTTCTTTCAATGCTTTGTGCTTTAATCAGATAAATTGGTTGGTCTATAATGCGTTTGGTGGGTAATTATGCAGATTCGGAGGAGAGAAGTGAGGATACTGAAGTTATCCCTGGTAGAGATTTAAGCGCTTCCATGGAGAAAGAATGGAAGATGTTGAAGAATGACAGCGACAAGGTAACTGGAGGTCTTGAGAAATATGTTGATCTTGGTGATACTGATGCAAAGAATGAGACCAACAATGAGAAGATGAATGAAGTTATGATTGATGAAAAAGGTAATCTAAGCAATGATTTACAACCAACAATGTTGTCTGCTATTTTCTTGTTTTGCATTTCTAAATTATGTGGCTTTCTTTCGCAGAATCCGAGGATAGTTTAGTCCAAGTAGACAAGCTAGAAGAAGCATCGCAGGCTGATAAAGCTATTTGTGAGGGAAGTTTGAAGAAGAATGAAAATGAACCAGAGATTCGAGATGTTGAGGTTCATGTTGATCTTGGTGATAATCCTGTCTTGGAATATGCAAACACTGATACAAACAATGATAATAAAGGTATGCAACAAATAGCGAGCCCTGACCATCTTTCTTGTTTACATTTCTAAATTTAAAATGTCTTTCTTTTGCAGAGTGGAAGAACGATCAAGCTTTCAACAGTTTATTGCAAGCCGACTACCAAGAGACAATTCAGGAGATTGGTCCTGAGCCAGAGAAAATCAACAGCTTTGATGAAGACCAAACTGATGGTGATGGTGGTGATTCAGAAACTGAACCGGAAGAAGATAACTCGGATATTGACTCAGACGGCAATATCTCTGATGCTGATTCGACACAAGCCGTTTTGGGATCGGATACTGCTGTTGAAGAGATGAATTTTTCGGAATCAGAAGGTTCTGCTGCTGCTCCAATTTCTCCTCATCTTCTTCTTGAAGAGGCTACAGTCAAAACAGCTCCATTATCTCCACATGCAGCAGAACCAATCTCAGTTCAGTTTCCAAGACCAAACAAATCAACAACAACAACTCCACCCAAGAAGTCGGCTATGAAGCTGGTCAACGTGGATAATAAGAACAAGGAGAACAACATGGAGAAGATGATGAATGTGAACGATAGTGATAATGGAGAATGGAAAGGTGCAGCTAATAAGAAGAAGAAGGAGAAGGTGGAGATCGATGCAGAGAAGTTGAAAGATGTGAGCATGAGGCAACTGGTGAAGATGGTGAAGGAACTTTCTATAAAGAGCAGTAACAACAGAAATGCGTTGCAGATATTGCCTGGTAATAATAATCAGATTGCAGAGTAAAAAGAGTGGTGGATTCAAAAATGCGTTTCTGTTTTTTTATGTTTTGTTGTTGTTGTTACTTGTTATTGCCTCAGACAGAAAAATAAAAATAAAAAGAGTAACCCTTTTCCTTTATGATGCAAAGAAATCTCAATTTAAGGAACAAGTTTGGTAAGGTAAAGATCCTCCATTTTTTTCCTAATTTCTAGAATTTATAAGTTCATAACTAATAACTCGGGATATTCGGAGTTTGGAATCTGAAATTTCCAAATCTCGAAGATTTCTTCGTGTTCTTCACGATGGCTACCAAACCAAACTATGCGACGACGGAGGATGATGCAGACTTTGCGCCCACGAAAAAGCAAAAGATCGACGACGAGGGAGATAGCGATAGCAGCAGCGACGACAGCTTCATCAGCGTCGGCGACATGGGCACCGAGGAAGAGTGGCGTGCGTATAGATACTATTCGAAGGAACCTGAGTGGGATGTCGATAGCTTTGATGGTCGTGAGTTTATAATCAATCCTCGGATTCGTAAGCTTTACGAAACCCAGGAACTTTATGACGAATACTACCGCAAGAGGCTCCAGGCTTTCGAGAGTAAGGTAAGGAATTTTTTTGTATATAAGTTTGAAAACTTCTTCTCTTTGTCACTGCAAAATCGATAGATTGCGTATACCTAAATTTTGCCTCTCTTTTTTTTTTTGGGGGGGGGAGGGGGGGGGCTGTTTAAGGGTTTTATTCCTGATCATTCGAACGGAATCTACGAAGTTTATCTGGAAGATCCTGTGAGGATTGAACACCTGACAGAACTTGTTAATGTGTGTGTCAAGAAATTCAATGAGACTAAGGTTAGTAATTGAGTCAGAAAAAGATTTACTACTACTACTTGTAGTTTCTTTAGAGAAGATGGATTTATATATATGCAGAATTTCGTTTTTTTTTTCTATCTTACGGGGAAAAACTTTGGAATTGGTAAATATTTTGAGAGCTACTGAACGTGGATATGGTAACGTGAAGTTCTACATCACGTTTATGGCTCGAGAGTATCAGAATGGACCTCTTGTTGAGTACCAAGCTAAGGCGATCAAGTTTGGAAACAACCGACCTCCTTTCCCAATTCTCTGCAGACCAAGTCCCAAACCCGAAACCTAGATTTATATTAAAGGTATATCCCCCTATTATTCCTTTAGTCTTCTTGCTGTTTTATTGTGTCAATTTTCATGATATCTCGTTGTATTTTTTGTCTGTTTTCCACTTTTTAACTTCTAATCTTTCTGCCTAAATTGCAGATTGGTATGTTGACGACGAGCTAGCCAAGGGCTAACTTGCATTGAAGGTTTTATGGTAGTGTAACTTGGGTGGAATAATGTGAGCAGAATTATGTTGTACTTTTTTTTTTTATGGATTATGTGTTTTTGAGCTAAATTATGTTTGAGTTTATGTGCAATTTCAAAAGTTTTTAATTGAAAGTAAAGTTGGTAACTGAAAGTAATTAAAAATTATATAAGTGGGAGGCTCGAACACTAACAAGAAACAGCCATATAATGCAAGAAAACAATTTGAAATTATGCAAGATGGATCGAGAAGGGTGAAGTTATATTATAGGTAAATTAAGTGCTTCATTCTACAAGGAGAAAGATTAAAGCTTTTCAGTAAGAGAGAGAAGAAGATGAAGAATTGTTTTGTATTTTACAAAGTACTAAGAAGCTTTGTTATTGATGAACAAAATTCTGTCAAGTTTAACAATAGACATTGGCAATGTCTCTCTTCAAACAAGTAAAGATGATTGTATATATGTTCAACTTTAACACCAGACAAATATCCCCTAACCCTTGACTCCCCAAGTATTTCCCCAAGTGTTTTACACCAAAAAAACAATTGGCCATATGCAGTCATCCCATCAACCACAATTTTTCCAAGTGGTGGACCTAGAAATTATTTTTACCAGATCATAAAAACGATTGATGAAACCAAAACCAGTTCAGAGACTTAAAAGAATAGAAGTAAAAGGAAAAAATTTATTTGTGCATTTTTGAAAATGATTTTTTGTTTCGTTAAGAAACGATAGTTTACATGATCATGAAACAGATATTTTTAATAAAAAATTATTCTCTTTATTATACATTAAATAGAAATAACAAGCTACAGTTTCATACATACTATATATATATATATACATCAAACACTAATTTCATCATATCTACAGTTTGCTCGAAAATACTCCCGAATAAATCCAAATGCGTACGAGTCCAATTAAAACTTAGTCGAATTCCATCCCCAAATTCCTGTTTAAAAAGACAACAAAATAAAATTTGAGAGATACAAAGGAACAAAATAAAATTCCATGTTGTGACAAACTTCGATAATATGATATTAAAAATAAGTGGTTAATCCTTTGTGATTCTTCAATAACTTCTTGTATTTGTGGATTTGGAGGATTTTGAGAATGGGTTGATATTAAAACTTCTTCTCTTGTTGGAGAGTATTTGGTAATTTTTTCCCTCTATCTTTTCCTTTACCTCCAATATCCCACCAAAATCATAAGAATCATCTTCCATTCCTAAAAAGGTACATTTCCTAGAGCATCGCTGTTAATCTTTGATTCATAAAGCTTATAAAAATATGTTTTTTTTAAGTTATATACATTTGTTGCTAAGTTGGAATACTATATTCATATATATATATATATATATATAATCATGTAGAGATTTATTTTTTTCGTTCTCTAATTAATTAGAGTTTAAAGATGTGAACTTGGTTAAGTGAGAAGAAATGTTTTCCCCTTTTTTCTTGTGAGTCTTAAAATCTTTGCATGATTTGGACACGGACACTTGCTTCAAATAGCGGTTCTTCTCTCGAACGATTGCCCAATCGTATAATTTTCCTCTTGGCTCATTCTTATAAGGTTTCTCTTCTCGACTGAAAACAAAAACAAGAAGATAGCGACGACACAAAATAGACTAAACAAACGGTCGTTGTTATATATATAAGAAACTTTGTTAGGTCAGCGTATTCTCCAAAAGATTTATCCTTTGGACCACGAGACAAAAATAGTATACTTAGTTATATCACCTTTCGTCTTCACGTCTTTTCGCATGTAAAATGAGCGCATTACAATTACAAAGAAAATCGATCGGGTTGAATCGGCTTGAAATCGGGTCGGGTCAGAGCAAAATTAGAACTTCCTCCTCCTCATCGAAATTTAACCAGCTAATTGCGGATTCAGGATTTAGGGTTCTTCGACGAATTCTGGAGATTGCTCTGAAGCCAAAACGGAGATGCCATCAGCATTGGATCATGAAACTCCCGACATTTCCTCCGTTCCACCTCCCAGTGACGGCCACGATCACGTCGTCCTTCCCCAAATTCTCGAGCATCCGTATGTTTCTGTTCCTTCTTTACTCGTTACTTGAAATCTTTGATTTCATTACTCTTGCTTGCTTCAATTCTTTCGACCTATCTCTCTCTCTATAAGTTAATGCTAGGTCTATGTGAAAAATGTTTGGTTTCTTGGATATCTGAGTCTCGAATCGATGATTCACCTCCTACGTTTCTGATGTTGGTTCCGGATCTAGTTTTTTCACCGATTTGCTGAACTTCTTAGTTACGAGTTTAGATTTTGATTTTAACTTCTTTTCTGTGTTGGAAACTCCCGAGGCTATTTTTAACTTTGGCATACCTTCGTGTTGGTGGATCTCTTCTCGGATTTGTTATGTTTTGTTTTGTTTGTTCAGGTGTCAAGTGACTCATTTCTGTGCTATAACAGATTGATCTTCTTTTGCAGAGGAGCTGTGCAGGATGCTGAAATGTCTGAGGAAGAAGTAAAAGGCTCATTAGAAGCAGTAGCATCTACCGGCAAGTTCTGGTAATGACGCTTTTGAATAGCTATGAGTACGCATGGTTGGTTTAAGCACTTAAACTGGCATCTTTTATCTCTTCCTTTACGGGTTTTGTAGTTTTTTTGTATAGTGTTAAATGAAATGATGAGTGACTTTCTTTCTGAGTACTTCTCTAGGTTTTAGGGTCTCATCTCTGTATTGCTACATCTAGTTGACTACTTTCATTCCTTTAAATACTATAGGCAGGACTGGGAGAAACTAAAGGGAAAGCTATCGTGGTGGTTGAAGAAGGTATGTGCAGGTATTACCAGCAGTGTGCTTTAGATAATATCATTCCACATCCATCCCAATGATTACAATGCCTAACTATCTGTATATGGTGCGCTTTAAAGGTTCTGTCAGAGTATCCTGAGGCAACGATGACGGACGAACAACAAAAAGAAGCCCTTGGAGAAACATATTCAGAGCTGGTTAGTCGATTGGATGAAGGTCTATATCTACTCATTTGTTAGTTTTGTTACTTTGATTGCAAAAAAGTACTGTAGATGAGAGTTTGAAAGTGTTAGAAGACTCTTGGCGTAGGGGCCTGACAAAGGGTTACTTATCTTGTCAATCACATTGTCTAATCGATTTTCAATTGAGTAGCTATAACTCCACCCATCCTTTTTATCTCAAAATTGCTACGAAAAAAATGATCTGTTTGAATGAAATGAAATGGCTTGGGATTGTACAGTGTGGGAACATATGCTGAGAGTTAAATCAAGGGATTTGCAATTCAATTGTTTAAGCTGTTTTATGTTGTTCTGACCTTCTCCAGTTTTATATATGCTTTTACAACTCTGATTGTTCTCTTTTTCTTGTCTTGTTTTGCAGCCCTTCTTAGTTTCGACGAAGGTCCTCCATTTACACTGCAGAGACTCTGTGAGGTAAGTAGATGCGTTTGCTGATTATGATTTACTTCAATGTCGGAGATATATGATCTTATTAGCTCGCCAGGTTTAATACAAAAAAAAACCACTTGGGCGGTAGTGTAAGGGGAAAAGAATCGGTCTACTCCATACCTTCTTCTGTTGTTAACTTGTTATCTATCCTCATGGATTCCTAAACCAACTTATTTCCTTGAAATTATGATATATCAGTATTGTTCCATGTTTAAATGTTTCTACTCGTCTTACTAGGCTAGGAGACATATATTAGCCATTTGTAAATCTTGGGAAAATTGTGATTGACAGAGTATGCCATGCAAGTGTCTTAGAAAAACTCCCCTCTTATTTGTGTAAAAGTTTATTACCACAAAGCTTGTTGATTTATTTGTGTTCAACAGATCCTTTTGTCTGCCAGGAGCATCTACCCAAAGCTCTCAAAGCTTGCTCTTGCATTAGAAAAGGTACAGATTTGAAATTATTACCTTTGTGATTTTATACTTGATAGAAACATTCCTTCATTGAATGTTGTGGGAATTTGTCCGATTCTTTGCAGAATCTGTTGGTTACTTCTATGTTATCCATCAGTGCGGATCCGCAATCACAAACCACTGAGGATGCAAACGCAGCAACCGAAGACACAAAAACGGTTGCAGAAAATTGGGCACCAAATGGAATTGAAGCCATTGGAGGCGACAAGGATGAGATAATGACAGAGGTGGAAGAACCAGAAGTTGATGACGCTATGACTATTGACATGGAGACATTCGATGAACCATCAGAGACAATGACAACGGCGAGTGAGAGTGAGACTTCAAGCGAAATCAGTTAAGTATCTGATTTTGTTCTTACTTTCTTCTATTCTTTCTTTTATCATTTCTTGGACATGTTTTATTTATCATCTGGAGTTGTCAATTTTCTTCTTTAGCTGGTGCAAAACCATCATCGGATTCAATGGCTGCAGAGGAGGGAAGTTCGCGGTTGCCTTGAACCTTATATGCCTTAAGAGACACAGTTTAAACATGATCAGCTTCGAAAACTGATCTCGGAATATAATGTTTGTTCTAGGATTAGAGATGTTCTTGGATATTGATGTTTTAAAGAAGGTTTGCGTTTTGGTGGATTTGGTTTATATATAAGGTTAGATTGGGTTTTAATCTGCGAGTAAGCTTCACCACCCAAATATCCCAAAAAGCATATCGTAAATCAAACTCTTTCCTTAATATTTAACAAACACCCTGACCATTCTTGAGGAAAGTGTACGCATTGTATTAACCTCTATAATAATATTATAAAAAGTTAAACTCTCACCTCTTTACTAAGAATACAAATTTTGGTTTGTGTTAGGTATCTAACAATCTATATTCTGCATAACATGAAGCAATTTTTAAACTGAATTGCTTGTCAATCCACCCAAAAACCAAAATTTCGAGTAAAATATTTATATAAGAAAAAATTTCTTTTGTTATAGAAATAAAATGATGATATCAAAGCGGACAATGATGACACAAAATGGAAGGTTTTCACATGGGTACAATATTTCTTCAACAGAATATACAATGAAGCTCTCATGGCAGCATGATACAAAATCAAAACGTAGCCTAATTGAATCTATAATAGAGCCACCATGAGAAGAAGATAATTCTTTCCTTAACAAAAGTATTCTGATTTCGTGATTACTGTTTTAATACCTGCAAGGGGAAACGACATTTTCAAGATCAATCTCATGAAACTGGAGTTATTGTAGTGATTAGGTTTCTCAGGTCTTTAAATTACCTGAAAGAGTCAAAACGAGGGTCCAACGGACGTGAATCCAGCGGCTTTGACATCTTTAAGCGTAGATGATAACCAGTCTAAGCCCTCATAAAGCCCGTCTCCACGGAGGGCACAAGTTCCTTGTATGTGCCATTTCCTGTTCTTGAGATCAAATAAGCCTAACCCTTCACATACTTCTCTCGGTGACATGGCCCCTCTCTAATATTCAGCAGTGATCAAAGGAAGTGTATTGATGAATAATAAACATTGACGAGAAACAAAGCCAAAAACTAAATAAAAACACTTAAGTTCCATTTTACCATGTCTTGTTTGTTTGCAAAAACCAGAATGATACTGTTGAGCATGAATGGGTCTTTTATGATCTCCTGGATAAATCAGAGACCAGGTTAAGAGACTTCACAGAGAGTATACGTAAGGTCTTCTGCAAATTTTAAGATATAAGAACCTGAAATTCTTGCTTTGCTTTCCCAATCCTCTCTCGGTCCAGAGAGTCCACCACGTATATCTACAAGCGCATGTAAAGAGTCCATTTTATACAATAAATCAATAAAGATGGACAAAGATTGGCAAACTGAAAGTCATGTTCACATATGAGAATAACACATGCCGACATAGAGATGGGCAAACTGAAAGCTAAATATCTGAATGAAATCACAAAGCTAGAGTAAGTATATACATACAAGTCCATCAGTATTATTGAAGTAGTGCCTCCAAAGAGGTCTCAGTTTCTCTTGGCCACCAACATCCCAAACTGTGAACATCACATTCTTGTACTGAACTTTCTCAACATTAAATCCTGCGTAACAAAGATTTAAACTGTCGGCAATCATACACTCCAAGCAACCCGAGGGAAAATGTACAAAACAATGACGATAGTATACAAATGTATCATAACTGCATGACACGGAGAGAAATTCACAGAGATGACCTATGGATTCAGAATGTAACGTCTTAATAAAATGAATCTAACACATTTCACCGAAGATCTATTCAAATCTTTTTCCACAAACCAAGGAATCAATCCCACTAATTATCCGATGAGAACAATAATCAAAGCTATTGCAATAACACAGGTCCTGAAATATTTCTTAAGAAATGGGCAAAAAAGAAAGCACAAAGCGTACCAATCGTGGGAACAGTTGACAAAACTTCTCCTATGTGAAGTTTGTAGAGAATAGTTGTTTTGCCAGCAGCATCCAGCCCCAGCATAACGACCTGACAATGACAATATCATCGCAATATTGAAAATCAAAAGAAAAACACGATTCAAAAACATTTCTTCAATTCTGTATTTCTGTTCATCATGCCACAGCTTACAACAGAGACATGATTAGTAAGAGAGAAGAATCAACCATCGATTTAAATCTCATCAAAAAGAATACAATGTTCCTACAAGATTTCAAGCACATAAGAATATGACTAAACTCCAAAACATCGAGATCAGACATGGACGATAAAAGCTATGACTAAAACTCAACGATAAATAACACAGAGATCCAGCCAAGAAACCCCGGAAAATGATCGAGATGAAATCGAGAGATGAAGAGTTACCCTCATTTCTTGATTGCCGAAGAAAGTATCGAATAGCTTACGAAAAGCTTGACCCATCGCTCCGAGACCCAAAAAAAAACTCTCCGCAACAATTTATTCCTTATATTCGCGCCAGACAGAAAGAGAAAATCAGACGATTGAAGATCGATTTCGAGAAGGTAACGAAATATCAGAGAGATTGCGTTCAGGTCCAAAGGATTTCAGGAACAAGTCTTCAAACTGAATATTCATATTCCATTGATTTCCATTTTTCCTTCAAATTATGATTATTATTACTTCCGACATTCTCACATTTTTATGGAATATAATATTAGCAAATGTTACTACAGATTATAAGGGATGAAATTTTCATAATCGCGGCCCAAACTTTATGGGCTGGCTGACTGATTGGCTCAGATTAGAAACTTTCCCTAATTTTTTTATATTCGTCAACCGTTCCCTAATCTTTATTGGTAATTTGTCCATAATTTTTAAATGGCTTCGCGTATATTTATGAGCTTCATGCAACCTAGTTATAAAATTTCATTTCTCTTGCTACTCTAATTAGACACTAAAATGAGAATCAAGAAAGAGGAGAAGTAGGAGACAGTTATGAGTACGTTTTAGTATAACAGTACATCTTTCATCTAAAATGTTCGTTTTTTGTGTCATATATATACACACACACATATAGATATATATATATATATATATACAGTATTAGAAACGAAAGTTTAAAGGTACGGCCCCAAAATACCTTTAAACTTTCCGACAAATTATGAGGATTGAAATTATGAAGTGATATACGAGAAGTTCCATGAGCCACGAATTTTACCTACCAAAACGAATATATATATCATCATTTTTACCATTGTTTTATTATGGGACCACCACCAAAACAAATAAGTATCACTCTAGCATTTGGTCCATTACATAACCGAACATTAACTACGTAGTACGTTCGACAAACCTCATGCCAATCTTCCTACTGCTATAGATTCTGAAAGCCGAAACATGTAATGATAATATTATTTTTTGGTGGGAAAATTCAATCATCAAATGTTTGGATTTTGTTTGATCTATTTCCTAAAAGGAAACTAATCTCCTGTCAAATGAACATCTTCTTATAGTTTTAAGAGAATTTTTTTTTTTTTTATATAGAAGCTGTTTTATTTATCGTCAATTTGTAATCGGCAAAATTAAAAAAGTTCAATCTCTAATGCAAATTAAATTGGGTTAGAAAAATCATATTGTTGACCCGAAATTGATAAAGAGAGAGAGAGAGAGAGGTACCTAACAACCAGAGACACCGCCACGAGCTTTATACTTGCTCGGTGGTTCATCCTCCATTTCTTCTCCTATTTAAAATCTCCCTCTTTGCGTTGCCTACTTCGTTACTCAGCCTTCTATATCATGGCCAAAGACCCAATCTACGACTCCCACGTGGCAGTTCTCGCTTTCCCCTTCGGTACTCACGCAGCTCCTCTCCTCGCCGTCACGCGCCGTCTCGCATCCGCCGGCCCCACCACCGTCTTCTCCTTCTTCAACACCGCCCAATCCAACTCTTCCTTACTTTCTTCCGTCGACGACGCAGATCTCCCGGCGAACGTTCGAGTCCTCGACGTCTCAGACGGCGTTCCGGATGGTTACGTGTTCTCCGGGAGACCACAGGAGACGATGGAGCTCTTTCTCGTAGCCGCGCCGGAGAATTTCCGAGAAGCAATCGCCGCGGCGGAGAAGGAGGTCGGTAGGAAAGTGAAGTGCGTGTTAACGGATGCGTTCTTCTGGTTCGCGGCGGATATTGCGGCGGAGATGAAGGCTTGTTGGGTTGCGTTCTGGACCGCCGGACCAAATTCGCTCTCTGCTCATCTCTACACAGATCTCATCAGAGAAACCATCGGTGTCAAAGGTTACTACTACAAAAGTTTTTAACTTTTTAAACGCAACAAATGAAGTCTTTTGGTTTTGTCTTTTAGCCATTAAATATGCAATCAAAGAAAAATCGTAATGTGCAGTGATTATATGTATTTTTTTGTTTGATGATTTCTTTTTTTAACACGTTCCTGATTTTACAGAAGTCAATGGACGTATGGAGGAAACACTAGGGTTTATCTCAGGAATGGAGAAGATGAGAGTCAAAGACACACCAGAAGGAGTTGTGTTTGGGAATCTAGACTCTGTTTTCTCAAACACGTTGCATCAAATGGGTCTTGCTTTACCTCGTGCCACTGCTGTTTTCATAAATTCCTTTGAAGAACTAGATCCTACACTGACCAAGAACCTCAAATCGGAATTCAAACGCTACATCAACATCGGTCCTCTCGCGTTATTATCATCTTCTACTTCTCAAACAGAGACACTACTAGTGCACGATCCTCACGGCTGCTTGGCTTGGATTGAGAAGCGGTCCCCTGCTTCTGTAGCGTACATTAGCTTTGGCACGGTCATGACGCCGCCTCCTGGAGAGCTTGTGGCCATAGCACAAGGATTGGAATCGAGCAAAGTCCCGTTTGTTTGGTCGCTTAAGGAGAAGAACATGGTTCATCTACCAAATGGGTTTTTGGAACGGACAAGAGAGCAAGGGATGGTGGTTCCTTGGGCTCCACAAGTGGAACTGCTCAAACATGAAGCAACGGGTGTGTTTGTGACGCATTGCGGATGGAACTCCGTCTTGGAGAGCGTGTCAGGAGGTGTGCCGATGATTTGCAGACCGTTTTTTGGTGATCAGAGACTTAACGGAAGAGCAGTTGAGGTTGTGTGGGAGATTGGAATGACCATTATCAATGGAGTCTTTACAAAAGATGGATTTGAGAAGTGTTTGGATCGAGTTTTGGTTCAAGATGATGGTAAAAAGATGAAGGGTAATGCTAAGAAACTTAAAGAGCAAGCACACGAAGCTGTCTCTGCGAAAGGAAGTTCCTTTGAGAATTTCGAAGGATTGTTGGATGCAGTTGTGAACATTTCGATTTAATTCAAACTGAGTTTAGATAAACAAAACTTTCTATTAATGGTAATAAAATTAGAGTTAAAGAGGATGAATAATACTGTATTGTTTGATTATGTAGTTGTGAGAATTATTACTATATACTTACTATATACGGTTTAATCCAAAAAGACTTCTGATAAAAATAAAGAACACGATTCATTCAGTAAGAAGCTCCACTGAGAATTTCATAGGATTTTTGGACGAATTAGTACCAGATTAATTTTTGGATATAATAACAAATAAACAAAAGAACACTTTCTATTAAAAGGTAACTCATAATATGAGTTAAACAATGTCTTGCACCTAAAACACGAATCACTGAGTAAGATAAACAAGAACACCCGAAAAAATGTCTAATATTTAAAGCAAATAAAAAATCAGCCAACCACGTAACTAGAGAAGAGCCCTAAGGTTTAAATCTACATCAAAGCCCAATTAATTAACCAAACAAGACACTAATTTACTCCCAAAGATCTCTCTATTTTCTTAGCTTTTCCAATTCTCAAAATCGAATTATTGGGAAGGCTTAAAAAAATGGCAGCAGAGAGATAGTCGGGGAAATTAGAGTCCCTCACCAACTGTTTCCTAATTCCCAAACCTAGAAAGGAAATCAGGAAAGCGTCTTCTTGTAGCATGCCTTATTGGTTTTATGAGTCCACCATCTCGTCTTGAATCTCATTAGGAGCAATAAGCCCAGGAATCGAAAGCATTCTTTGACGCTCTTGCTCTCTCTGCGCAGCTGCTTCCTCAGCATAGAGATCTTTGTTATCCTGAAAATTAGATATCCAACAAATTAGCTTTGTCTATTATTAGTTTTTGACTTTGTAAAGCCAAATGAATGGATTCGTGAAAGAACATTTAATAAATTTACCTGAGCGGAAAATTCCTTAGACTGTACAAGGAAGTCACGAATATTGTTCTTAAATCCAGACGGGTCATTTCTAGACTCGTAAAGTCCATTCACAAATTGTGTGACCTGTATATTTATTCATATTCAATGTTAGATTTGAGAAAGAAGAGGGGGAATCAACATGAGAACTGTAAAAGCAAAACTACTGGTTTTAGTTTCTACTTTACCTCTGCTGCAGTCATGTTGGGGAACGAAGAGCTCAATAGCTTGATGGTGTATTCACGAACAAAGGCAGCGTTGTTCGGATACGGATAAGGTACGGTTGCAGTATCCCACAAAGGTTCTGTCAAAGAACCACTCTCAACCTGAAACAAATAATCAATGAAACCGCTTAAGCACATACAACTACCCATTTCCAAGCAAACGAATCACTTCAGCCACCAATAAATAAGATAACATGTTTTTACCAGGCAAAACAGTTGCTGCAGCACCGACACATGCAGCTTGAAGCCAGGCTTATGGAAGGTATCAGTCAAAACAGCAAATATTTCTTGCTCGATTTGTATAAAGTATGACCGGAAGAACTGATTAGAAAACTCAGATTGCTGCCACAATCAGAGGTAAAATGTTAGATGAGAAAATAATAAATGCCACAACCACAGAGCTAAAAGAAGGGAAAATTAACACCAAACCTGAAAGTTTTTCAGCATCGCAAGCAAAAGATTAAGCCCAGTTTCAGCAATGTTTCTCTCAGTATGTCTAAATGCCCAGATAATTGAATCCATCACTAGCTTCAGTTGCTGTTGCAAAATGGCAAGACAGTTACGAAGATAAGAGAATAATGAGTCAAGACTTAGAAATAAGGCCATAAGCTCCTTAGATCACGTGAAGGGAAAAAAAATGCGAAAACATATTCACCAACCTGACTTGATAACTTTATCAAGGCAGGGAAACAATATGTAGCAATGGCACGGAGTAATGAAAAAAACTTGAGGCGGTGTTCCGGATAATCTTCGAAGTTCTTAGTTATCATCTGCACAAGAATGGAAATTGTCAATAAAGTATACAATTACAAAGCATATATCAGACCTCATTGTATGTTTTTTCATCCCGTCAATCACAATCACATACTGCGGCACTTGCTTAACGTTTCTGTAAGTGAAAAGACCCTCCCTAATGTAGGTGAAAATATGATTAACTTTCTCAATCTAAATTACTTCAAGGTTACCACAGTGAAAGTGCCCAGTCTCCTCATTTATGTTAACAGCTGTAGTGCGAGTGTGAAGAGATAACAAAGAACATTGTCCATAAATTTGGTTACCTCCAATGTACACTGGAAAACAGCTTCAAATATGTGAGGCACGTCTTCCAACATTGTTGCCTTGTATCTGAAAGAACATATCAGATTATTCTAGCTTCATGGGAAGTAAAGTTCCAAATATATTCTTGCAGCAATAGTTTTCGAATA